TACAAGCTCATTTCAAATATTTATTCATAGTTGGTAATTAAATTTTGTCTGAAACACGGTTATTTGGGAACGAACATGACTACTGGTTTCATGGTGTAAATGCATATGCGTGAAAATGTCATGGTTGGAAATATCCGTGGATGCAGATGTGCATGGGTATAAATGTACGTGGATGGAAACGTCCATGGGTGCAAATGTCTGTGGGTGCAAACGTACGTGAGTGCAAATATCCACGGGTACAAATCTCCGTGCATGCAGATGTGCATGGGTACAAATGTACGTGGATGCAAATCTGTGTGGGTGCAAATGTCTGTGGAATGTCCATGGGTGCAAATGCACGTGGGTGCAAATGTACGCGTGTGCAATAATCCGCGGGTGCAAATGTCCGTTAGTGCAAATGCAAAATGTTTGTAGGTACGAAAACTATTTCCAAAAAAATATCACGTAAATTATTCATAATTTCGCCTTCAATCAATAATGAATACTGAAACTTACTTATTCAATTTCAGATAACACGGAACTCTGGTTACATTTCTATTAATATCATTTTTATACATGAAGTACCAAAGTCTTAAGTGCATAGGGTCTCCAAACTAAAGGCCATGATCCGGCCTGCCGTTTATGCTATCTTTCAATTATAACGGGGTGACGATGACAAGTTTGTCTGGCGTTTTCATGCCCACGTACAATGAGAACAAAATTGATTTGTGAAATACTGGATCTTGCGTTCTATGAACTATATTTGTCTGCTTTTTTTTCGTTTGGTAGAATTTCCGTCAATGTCACAAAGCAATCTGCAACATTTAAAATATGAATATTTTGATTCTAATGTAGAAATAATGGAAGAATTAGAATGGATCTGATTGATTGAAACATTGAACAAGCTGATAGGCGCCCAAGATCTCCGCTGATACATGAGGCGGCCCGCATTTCATGAACCGCTACCATCCACGCAAATTTGCACATATAACGACAGTGCTCTGCAGCGACCGGGATACCAAAACTGCTACTTCGTTTTGAGCGCTGCGAGTCTCGTGCGTGGTATACTGCGGCTAATGATTAATCTTGTCCCCAAAAATTTCGCATCCCTATTTTGACACGTATAACCCTTATTGTGCCATCCCTGGTTTGACACGTATCGACCGTATTTCGACATCCTTATCTTGACACGTATCGACGGTATTTCGCCATCCCTATTTTGACACGATCACGGTATTTCGCCACCCCTATTTTGACACGTATCGACGGTATTTCGCTATCCCTATTTTGACACGCATCGACGGTATTTCGCTATCCGTTTTCTATGTTGACACTGAGGTTGGTATTTGATATTGATAGGTTGGTAACTGATATAGGTATATTGGGGATGTCAAAATAGGGATGGCGAAATGCGGTCGATGCGTGTTTCAAGTATGAGGAGAAGTATAGTTAAGTGTATTCGCAACCCAAACTTCAAAATTAACTTCTTTATAATTCAATGTTTAATGCTACAGGCAGAACGTATGGAACTCACCTTACACTTGGTTCCTAAGGTTCATACAAGTGGTGAATGTAGTGCTAAAGACTCTGGAATTTTAGTTTGAAGTTCGCGATATTATGAAAAAAAAACTTACCACTTTTGATAAACCACCGCACTTTGTGTATACACGTGGACAGCCCATTGTCGTAGATGCGTGAAACTGGAAATCTGTTGTATGACGTATTCAAGTTATACAAAGTACAACGAACTCTACAAAGTGTTAGTCAAATAGATAATGAACAGTTAAAGAAAGCCAATAATCTGGAATACAGTTCTTACCCTAAACCTGCCCCTAACAATTCAAACCGTTTCACTTATCGTTTGATTTTGCTCTAGAAACAATGCGCGCATACTGCCGCCTTGACATGTATCGTTAACGACCTCTCGACACGTGATCGTACCGATCACTAGACGTCTTGAAGTTTATAGAGACAACCTTTTTAATATATATACAATTTTATCAAATATCATTCCCGACATTGGTATTAAAAAAGGGTTTAAATTTCTGGATCCCAATCTCAGTTTGAATAGCTTAAAATAACTCAAAAATGTTCTGCGAACAAATATCTGCCAATGGTTCAGTGTACACTGAAATTGTTCTGCGTGCTGCATGCGGCCAGCGTGCCAAAGTTTGGACCAAACAGATTTAGTGCCTTATTCATGTTACGACTGGTCGACGTAGAATCACTCCAAACTGATTATACACTCGTTGTGTCCAACAGGAAGTTTTTTATGCGATTTTGAAATGTAAAGAGCAATTTCCATACTTCTAAATGTCTATCAATACCTCAAAGACATTATATATAACTATGACGATTCCATAAATAAAAGTAAAATTGAAACATGTTCAGTTTCAACAAAATCATTTGTAATACCATTGCCGATTCGCACACGGTGCTATAAAAATGTTGATATTGTAAAAATTGAAAGAATTGAAGATAATAAAGTCTTAAGTGCATAGGGCCTCTAAACTAAAGACCATGATCCGGCCCTGTCATTTATGCGATCTTTCAATTATAACGTGGTGACGATGACAAGTTTGTATGGCGTTTTCATGCCCACGTACAATGAGAACAAAATTGATTTGTGAAATACTGGATCTTGCGTTCTATGAACTATATTTGTCTGCTTTTTTTCGTTTGGTAGAGTTTCCGTCGATGTCACAAAGCAATCTGCAACATTTAAAATATGAATATTTTGATTCTAATGTAGAAATAATGGAAGAATCAGAATGGATCTGATTGATTGAAACATTGAACAAGCTGATAGGCGCCCAAGATCTCCGCTGATCCATGAGGCGGCCCGCATTTCATAAACCGCTACCATCCACGCAAATTTGCGCATATAACGACAGTGCTCTGCAGCGACCGGGATACCAAAACTGCTACTTCGTTTTGAGCGCTGCGAGTCTCGTGCGTGGTATACTGCGGCTAATGATTAATCTTGTCCCCAAAAATTTCGCATCCCTATTTTGACACGTATAACCCTTATTGTGCCATCCCTGGTTTGACACGTATCGACCGTATTTCGACATCCTTATCTTGACACGTATCGACGGTATTTCGCCATCCCTATTTTGACACGATCACGGTATTTCGCCACCCCTATTTTGACACGTATCGACGGTATTTCGCTATCCCTATTTTGACACGCATCGACGGTATTTCGCTATCCGTTTTCTATGTTGACACTGAGGTTGGTATTTGATATTGATAGGTTGGTAACTGATATAGGTATATTGGGGATGTCAAAATAGGGATGGCGGAATGCGGTCGATGCGTGTTTCAAGTATGAGGAGAAGTATAGTTAAGTGTATTCGCAACCCAAACTTCAAAATTAACTTCTTTATAATTCAATGTTTAATGCTACAGGCAGAACGTATGGAACTCACCTTACACTTGGTTCCTAAGGTTCATACAAGTGGTGAATGTAGTGCTAAAGACTCTGGAATTTTAGTTTCAAGTTCACGATATTATGAAAAAAAAACTTACCACTTTTGATAAACCACCGCACTTTGTGTATACACGTGGACAGCCCATTGTCGTAGATGCGTGAAACTGGAAATCTGTTGTATGACGTATTCAAGTTCATACAAAGTACAACGAACTCTACAAAGTGTTAGTCAAATAGATAATGAACAGTTAAAGAAAGCCAATAATCTGGAATACAGTTCTTACCCTAAACCTGCCCCTAACAATTCAAACCGTTTCACTTATCGTTTGATTTTGCTCTAGAAACAATGCGCGCATACTGCCGCCTTGACATGTATCGTTAACGACCTCTCGACACGTGATCGACCTCACCGATCACTAGACGTCTTGAAGTTTATAGAGACAACCTTTATAATATACAATTTTATCAAATATCATTCCCGACATCGGGATTAAAAAATGGTTTAAATTTCTGGATCCCAATCTTAGTTTGAATAGCTTAAAATAACTCAAAAATGTTCTGCGAACAAATATCTGCCAATGGTTCAGTGTACACTAAAATTGTTCTGCGTGCTGCATGCGGCCAGCGTGTCAAAGTTTGGACCAAACAGATTTAGTGCCTTATTCATGTTACGACTGGTCGACGTAGAATCACTCCAAACTGATTATACACTCGTTGTGTCCAACAGGAAGTTTTTTATGCGATTTTGAAATGTAAAGAGCAATTTCCATACTTCTAAATGTCTATCAATACCTCAAAGACATTATATATAACTATGACGATTCCATAAATAAAAGAAAAATTGAAACATGTACAGTTTCAACAAAATCATTTGTAATACCATTGCCGATTCGCACACGGTGCTATAAAAAGGTTGATAATGTAAAAATTGAACTCATGAACTTATAGATGCCACTTTGAACGCAAGAATGAAACACGCTGATTACGTAATGGCAAACCATCGTGCCTGAGAAATACGCAGACGGAGATTCTTTACTTAATTGCTTAAAATAATTCTTTACTTTATTTAATTAATGCCTAAATATTAATTATTGAAAGTAGGATTTAGGTATAAATATGTACGCATTCCCGGTTTAGGTAGATGAGTCTCCCGATACATTTCCAACTTATCCTATAACTTTAGGAGATAAGGACATGTTTCGAAGAGAGAATGATTCCTGTATCTCGTCCGGCGCTCCACAAAAATTTTCAGTTTCGAATAGCACCGTCTCTTTAGCTGCAACCTTTCGTTTGACTTTTAAATTACAGAAGATAAAAATAAACATCAGTTCTTAGTAGCTATTATCAAAATTACGAAGCTTGTGTCTGTGTCTTACTTTTTTGCTTTGTTTATTAAGCCAATTCTTCTTGTCCTGTAACCCAAATATTAGAACATTGAATAAAAATTCCATTCGCTGTTTCCTCTCTCCATGTCGTAATATCGTCTCATTTATGAGTTGATTATCCAATACGCCTGTGTAACACGTAATTTCTAACTATTGCGCATATTTATGGTCTGAAGCTTCTATTTGTGTGTTTGTTTTATAGAGTTTTATCTCAGAATAAATTTTTAAATATCTGATACCTACTAGTCCAGGATGAATCTGAAGGTTGGAATTCTTCTTTTGGCCGCTTCATTGATTGCAGTCTGTTATGGTAAGTGTCGCTAAATGTGCCTAATTGTTGGCATTGTTGGACATAACTCTTAGAGATTTACCAAGGTACGAACAGAAAACAACTATTGTGGCCAAAATAAAATATTGTCCATCGCCTGAAGAGAAGTTTCATTATAAACTATAAAAATGGCTGGTGTTTAGGCTATGTATGTGTTTTTGTTTACTATGTATGTCAAAATTTCGATTTCAGGGGACAGCTGCAGAAATATTGGATGTAGAACATTCGATTTGACTGCCTTCGACTGCCAATGCAATAGAAAGTGCATATATTATGGAAATTGCTGCAGTGATTACAGCGCATTGTGTGACACAGCGTGAGTATTTTAAATAATTTTGTTTGTATCATGTCATTCTTTCTACTTCATTCCTTCTTCTACATTACAATGATGTACTACTTTCCAGCGCTTCATGTAGGGGACAAAAGTGCGATGATGCTAGTGCACACGATCATGACAGACCTTGTCAATGCAACGAACACTGCTTTGAACATAATGATTGCTGCCCTGATTACCCGGAAGCTTGGTAATACTTTTTTCGTCTCGTCATTTGTACGTGATACCAATACGAAACGTTAATGTTTTTTTCTATCCTTAGCGATGTTGTTGATGCCCTTCACTTCTTTTGAAATATATTGCAACACCAACAGAAGAATCGTGGCAATGGACGATGAAACGATTACGTGATTTAACAAATTATTAAATCAAATAATTAAGATTGACTAATTTCAATAAATAAACGAATAAATTCTCGTGTGAATATCTTATAAGAACGAGCAGTAGAGCAGAAGATTTTGATTTCGTTACACTTAAACTCCAATATATATAGATATGTCGTTCAATTAAACTTGCTGGTGACATGGAAGTATACAATATTATTGTCACAATACAGATTTCAAATTGCTCGAGGCATTGGCGGAATATATTTGAATGAATAGATTGAGCATTTAAAAAAACACCTTGAGCATAACCACATGAGCAAATATGAAATGATATTGCACGGCGCTTTAAACCAGACTAATTCCAATCGTAACTTTCCGTTAAAGCGACCTTGTACACAACGTGTACCTGTTTTCGAATTATACCACAAATATGCAGACTTGTCCATGGGAAACGTTCCATGGGATGGAACAGTACACATTTGTATTTCCCATGCTACACGAAAACCGTATGATTTTCAAGGAAATGATGATAAAACGATTCGTTATAAACTTCGTGTTCATATATTTGAGCATAGCTCTTTCGTTAGTTATAAAGAGCAAAATATATTCAGCATTAACAATATACTTCGTGGAGGGGCTGATGGAACCATGTATAATAGTTATGAATATAAAGTTAACAAAATCTGTAAATTTTGTTGTTTCGCATGTCTCTTCGTACATGTAGTCTTATTTAGTAGACGCTAAACCTAAATTTAACAATTTATATTGAATTGTATTCCAATGGGAATCCCATGGGATGGAATGGGACATGCATAATTTTTATGGGATGGGAATGGGACAGAAAAATATGTTCTATGAACAAGCTTGCAAATATGATTACGGAATTTCTATCTTAAAAAAATAGTCTTCCCCCGAAACGTTCTGCATATTCAATTTTTCGAAACTGCTTCAGGCCTTAAACGACTGGGAACTAAGATTTCTCTTTCTCCGAAGGAGATGTTCTAGTATGGGGTATATAGTAGCCTATACACAATAAGTATCTGGATATCAGGATAAGATATATATATATTACTTTTAATTTTTTCATAGAAATGAAATTCAGATAGCCATCTGATGAAATTACTTTCACTTTAATTTGCAGTGATCAATAGACGCAACTAATATCATTACGATTACACCAAGCGGATATAAAAAATCATCATCATTTTTTTTTTTGAAGAACATTAGTCATGAAAGAATATTGTGTGGTCATAGCATAGTTGTGAACTTGCTTCAAATTAACTTTACCACAAACGCATTGTACCTGACTCCAGTACGGTGAAATAAATTACTAAGCAGATCCCTTTGTTTAGTCTCAAAGTACGCGATACCGAAAGAATTTCCTACATAGTCAAATACATCAAAAGCAAAGTCTTGTTTTTGTCGATTTAAGCACTCTGTGGAACCAGCGCATGCCAATGTGTTGTTGCTTCGCCTTCTTTTGCCAGTGCCTGAGCCCACTGTGATCGCCCAGACCAGTTATCGACCAGTTGGCCAAGAAGTGCTTCTCCGACTGGTTCGGTGGTTCCCCTGACGCGATCTTTCAAATATAACGTTGCGACGATAACAAGTTCGTCTGGCGTTTGTGCGTCCGTGCACAATGAGAACAAAAATGATTCGTGAAATACTGGGTCTTGCGTTCTATGAACTATCTTTGTCTGCTTTTTCGCTATTTTCACGTTTGGTAGAATCTCAGTCAATGTCACAAAGCAATCTGAAATAATTTAAAACGTCACTATTTTAAATCTAACAATTAGATGAAATTAATCCTACAATCAAGATGGAATTGATTCTACAATCGGATTAAATCTATTGACTTCAATAATGCCATGTAAACATAAGTAAGACGTTTCAACAGTCTGATCCAACAACAGTCTAAATCACTTTACTCGAACTCAATTTGAACAAACGTCCACGGTGATCGATAACGGATACTTATTTGAAGCTATATATACTTAATTATCACTTGATCTACGTTGCAGAATGCAGTTATTGACCTGGTTATCGCAAACATTATTTTCGAATTAAAAGCATAATACGAGTATTATCGAGGTATGGGCATACCTGGTTGTCTTCCTAAACTTCCCTTCGGAACATTTCTTGCGGCAACAACATCCACAGTAAGACATCCTAGCATTGCGTCATAACAAAGCGATAGCTGGATGTGAGGAGCTTCCTAAATATCAAACAGAGATAAAAAAAAAAAAAATAATGTAATAAGAAAATTTGATCAAATGCTCTGTCATTGTGGACGTAAAAATTAGTCGGGAAAGAAAAGTCAGTTGGCAGAAAAACCCACAGGAAGCATTATTCTCCCCTTTTTCTTGGCGTATTGATTGAAATTCATATAATGAGATTTAGTGTCAGATAGGAGCAAACCGCGATTTAATATTTAATGTATTTTCGACAGATAAAGATTACTCCTTCGAAACACATGAAAGTCTCGATTTGATATTGACACTGTCAAAACAAAGATCAATAGCAGTTATCAAGGATGGCTGAATAGCACATATACAACATCTTGAGTATCTTGAATTCTATTATATGCTACAGATATTTATCTTTCAACTAGCCAGAGGGAAAAGACTTTATTAATCAAAACAAATCAATTACAAAATTAATCCAAGACAAAATTAAACAACCAACGATGATTAAAAGCAATTATTGATTTGATGACATCTTTCTACGCAAATATGATGATTCAAAGATAAATCAGTGCTTTGGACAAATCCTATGAGACCGGTAGAAGAGTATACTAAATAATATTAATATGTAAATTAATATTACAAAATTGCCGTCCAAGAATCATACATGTATAGATTCATATTTTATAAGAGGAAATAAAAATTGTTTGAAAAAAAAACGGCAATGACGCTGTAGTGTAGGTTATAGAAGCATATCACTTAAACGTTTCAACCAGTCACAACACCAATAGATATTTGAAAAATGTTCACCAATAATCTCAATTTTATATAGGGACCATTATTTTACCACAATCACGAGAATCGTGCACATCATCCTTCTTACCTCTTCTTCATAAGAATTGAAGTTGATCCATATGTCAGTGGGAGTTTTAAAATCGATTTCACACAATGCTAGTATGCACTCTCCCACAATTTCAGCGTGTCGGAGTCGGCTTGATTTCTCCTTGCAGCATATCTGGAAATATTTATTCATAAATTACCATTTTAGGTTTACAAATTATAGGTAGCATTTATACATTAGTTTTTCTGTGTCTCTTCTAAATTTTGCTTTTGCTGTCCTAACACGCTTCTCTCTCAGAAAAAAAAAAAATTCAGGGATTGCAATCAACAATTTTGAATTTCTCATCGCAAAATTTTCTTTCTATTATGTGAGTGACATTGCTGTTCAATTACTCATACCATGTTGTATATGTGTACAGAATACACATTCAATATTACTTATTGATACACTAATCACCTTCAAGGACATATGCGGAATGTCATCTTCTTCTACGGATTCAAATGTTAATCTTTCTCTGATACTCGGATTCGCGTCATCAATTTTTATTGGTTCAGTTCGGTGTCCTCGATCATGACGTGGCAAGAGAGAAACCTGATACAAAAAAAAAATTGAAAAAACATTCTGTAAAATGAACAAGTCGAGTCATGGGTCATACGAGTCTCGAGTCCAACTTTCGAGCCCAAACTCGAGTCAAATCACCGAATAAAGTCTAACTGGTGATTGGCTGAGTGCGAGTGAGAATCATGTAATTTACGTTACTCGAGTTTTCAGAGTCTTAATTTGACTCGAACCCAACTCAGGTATCCCTAACACTGGTTCATACCAGTTACATAAAATTTTTTGTTCCGTGCTTTTTTATTAACCGAATGGTTGTTCCACCATTCCAATTTTTTCTCAATGATTGATTAGGTGACTTGCTGAGCAAATTTGAAAGTAGCACACTTTGATTGAGTGAAGCTGCCCCAGTAAATATTTGCTTCACTCAAGCAGGTGATGCATAATATTAAAACAATTAGGCATTTCAAAAATATTCACAAGAATATACTACCTTCAGATAGATCGAATGTTTCGGTGTAAAATTTTTCCCTTCTAAAATAGAAACGTTCAGTCTCCTGTGCTGCACGAGGTAAGTTATACAGAGACGAATAGAAGGAGAAGCAGGCGAGTGGGAGCTTTTAACACTTTTGTTGCTGACGTTATGCTCTGAAACACTGAGTTTCTTTTTGTCAGAATCTATGGACAAGGAACGCTCATCTAAAATATAAGTAAAAGAGTTATGTAATTGATGAAAATGTGACCAATTTTTGCAAAAGAAAATTGAATAATAAAATTGCCTTCACATAACTGATTTTCAATATATCGAGAATTATTTATTTTTTTTAATTCCGCTCATTGACTAGGTGCAAATTATCTACCTTCGTTACTTATAAATAAAACAATTTGTCATTCATATAAGTTCAAATCAATATATGCAGAGCAGAGGTACAAGCTGCAAATACACTGTGAATAACATTACCATCATATCCGATAAATCTTAGCTTGTACTCATTACTGTTTTAAAATCTAGATAGCGTTTTATGATATATATACCTCAAAATAATTTACTGCGTTTTAACTTTAGCTTATAAAACATCCAATGCTGGAAATTTTGACGGCGTCGACCGCATTTTCGTTTGTATATATTGTCTAGTAATTCTTGCGGTTTCGGGGGGAGAGAGCATGTAAGAGGATATTTGCCTTTGTTGATGGGAAATAAATAATTTATCGTTACCACGACCACATCATGCTGCTGCTAACGAAGTATGCAATCAAGGTGAAGCAAGTGGAAACTTTACCATTAGGGATTTGACATATGGTCAGTCTTTGCCAATTTTTGTATTTATGCTGAGCAAGATAAAATCCCGCCCTCTTAATTTGTTGTCAATTCGATGCCAATTATTGTTGTCACTTCCACAATGCAAAGTGTACTTCCATAAAATATATGTAAGCAACCGATTGTGGCCCATTGATATTGTGAACCATATATGTATATATATATATATATATACAATATAATCCACAAAATAAATATTTCGACAACATATGGTAGTTGGATTGGATGGAATTGAATTAAGGACTCATTTAATGCAATTTGATGAAGCCATGACAACTTGATTGAGTTGTCGTGCACTGTCCAGAACCCTTTAGTTCTCGCCGAATAGCTTATTTTGATAATCTTTAAAATCAAGGCTGTCATACTACTAATCACCCCGCGTCACCTTTGCAGACTGATGGGGATTAAAAAGAGAAGATCGCGAACTTGCTCGTCATGGCAAAGCGTCTCGCATTCGAGCGGTGCGATCACTGAAACATACACGAAATACCTGTTGTGTTCAACTGATCAGATACTAGTAATAATAATACTAATAAATTATATGTTCTACGTTAGAATGTCGTTCAAATCCCAGATTTGACTTACCGTTATCTGAAGAAGACAAAAGATGATTGTTCGTATCACCATGAAATGATAATCGACGTTGACACTGGCTTTCCACCTCCAAATTTTTTCTGTATTTAAGACGGCGTTCAGACTGCATAATAAAAATATTACTCTAATATCCAATTCTATGATAGTGATATATATTCACTTACAAATGCACCCTGGCAGAGGTAATTAATTATGCCTCAACTGTATTATGTAAAAATAGGAGCTATTATTAGCCTTTATTAAAAGCATAGATGATCAACGGGTGGAAAATTTCGACAAACCAGATGTCGGAATCTAATTTAGGACACTAATTGGTAATCACTAGTGGTTATATGCTCAGAACTAATAATGGCATATATGCTGGTCTTTATTCAACTTTACAACCATATAGTATTTCATTGGACATCAAGATTTATCTCTTTGGTATATGTCAATGAACTGATAACCTATTCCATTTCTCTGACCTTCGATGAACTGATCTTGCGTGGAGATGGTATTGGTGATTCATGAGGACTCGAACGGGTCGAAGAATTATTTCCGTCGCTTCCAGGAGATCGACTTCTATGTCAAAACATGAAAAACAAACTAATTAAATATATATTTTTAGTCGCATGATTCAATCATATACTTATTCTATCTGTAGGAACTTCGTCCTACATGGTCTGTTTGTCTGCCTATTCGTTATTAAATAATGACAATTCCGTGGCTTGAGAAAGCAAGTTTCGAAAACAATTTTTTGATAGCAGTCTTATCTTGGATAGTTCAGGTAAGTTTGGTCGTTTTTTTAGTAAAAATCGCCCGACCGATTTCCATCTTCTAGCTTGTAAACACCAGAGACACGGCGATATTGATCACCATCAACCAGCCCAGTGCGAGACCGGATTATATGATATTTTGCGAACTGATGTTAAATACTGCTGATTGGTAATGACTGGCATGAAAGGTTAAATACACCAGGGAGGCAGATGAATCTCTAATGACGAAGTATCCTTCACGCTATTATTAGTGTCTATTTACATTGCTTGTATTGATCAACATTAAAAAATGAATGAAGGAATTAGTAATAGATATTTCCCATGTTCACTCTACAGTCTTTACTGGCTAATATAATGTTAATAAGAAACCCAAATGATGCCGATAAGAATTATGAAAATATTTTGAACCCCTGTAACACTCGTTAGGTATAGTCTTTGATTGCCAATTACGTATGATATCGACTTTTAGATGTCTAAATCCATCATCTGCAACGATTACCCATGTAAATGATTGCTGGAATATTCCACTATCTAATTACTACTAAATTTTGTCATGATAGGTTTCTTTGAACTTCTATTTCATGCAATTCCGTACAATTTCGACTTGTCATCCACGTATGGCAAAGCAGCACCCACGTCACAATGCCTATTACAATTACAGGGTCAAAATAACGATGTGGAAAGGTACCAAGATCGAAGGCTGAGGTCACGTTGCTGAAAATTTTTTGGTCGGAAATTCTTCGTTGATATATATTTATAAAAGCTTACCTGCTATGTATGTTTGAGTACGAATCATTACACTTTCTAAATGTGTCTTCCGATAAAAATAAAGATTCTTTTCTTCTTGTATTTGGACTTTCGGATAACGTTGAAAACCCGGATTTTGTGGCTACAAGGTGCTGAAGACCAAGTCCTGGTTGTTCAACCGTCAATTCTCTCCCGCATTTGTTGCCAGATTTACTTGTATATTCTGGTAGAAGATGAAAAAGTATTCAGTGTTATAAAAGTTAACACCTCTCATTCAAAATGAACAACTGAAAAGGACTTGGTCTAAATTTTCTCCTAAGCGCAGTGAGAGTAAGAAAAAAAAAACAGCTAACCAATTTTAAAACATGCATCATATAGATTATAGAGCCAGATTCGTTTATTTAATTTTTATTTACAGCAGAATTTTTTTATTCCAAATTGCTTGCGTTCCGGAGTTCAGCACAAAATCTATATGTGTAATGTTACCAACAATAATCTTCAAATTACCTGGTCCCGGTGCTTTCCATGATGATGTTGTAGAGCTAGTGGTCGACCCATTTTTAGAATCAGCCCACTTCTTTTGCATAAGTGCTTTAATAGAAAATGAAGACGCCGAACCTAATGGCTTCCGATGCCTTATTGATGAATCTTTGTCACCGACCTCCATGTCGTCCATTATCTCATGGTCCCATTGTGAAACTTTCAAAGTATCCATTTTATTTTGACATTGTTGTGTGTCCGGACATTTTGAGACGCCATTTTTAACACCTGCTCTCGTTCGTCGCTTTGAAGACTCCATTTGTAAATGGTTTATTTCTGGAGCCGGTGGTAATATGCTATCATGATTGAACAGCGGAGGTAATGTAAACTGTGGGATACTTTTAGGGGTGACAACGTTTTTCATTGCATCTCTTTGTGTCACCCTCATATTGTTCTGTGTGGCATCGTCATCTACTCGATCAGATATATTGCGAAACAGTCCAGTAGCATGGTTTTGTACACTATCTCTAATGCTCTGAAAACCCCACATTATCTAAAAAAGGATATCACATTTTAAAGTATTAAACCTTATATCAATAAGCGACTTCTTGTTGAAGTTAGATAAACTATAGGTCATTCTTACAAATTACAAATCAGGAGTGTAGTCTAATTTATCCCACACATTATCCTTCGAAGCCCTTCAGTAAAACCTACTGTTTTCAACAATAAATTATTTTTGAAAACATGCTGTTTTGCAGCAATCAGTAACTTTCATGTTCACAATTCTTATTTCATTTGAAAAAAAAAAATTCTGCCAGCAATATAATACGCAAAAACACGTAAAATTTACGACAGTGACGGTATGTTCCGAAACTCCTGGTACAAATACCTTTATTTACCTTCTGAAGGATAAGCCATCTTACGTTTGGTTAATTCAAAGCTTTGAATAAACAATAAGAAAGCATATAACCAAACATCATTAACCAAATATCTAATCCCAGAATATTTTTAGGCGACTTATTTCATGCAGTTAAAGTATCATTCAACATTAACCTATGCAGAAGAAATTCATTTCACTGGGCCACATAGAAAATCCGCAATCATCTGTGGATTTTAAACTTAGTTGCTGTCAGGCCCGATACAAGCAGATTTGTTTAATTATTTAGCATTTCTATGAATATTCTCCTCTTTATTTATATTTTTAATGATGATCTGTTCTCATGAATAGCACTGTTTAAGTAATTTAATCAATATATCGATAAACAAAAATATAATCGTATTAGAACCCATATGTGTATGAAGACATTTGTCGTTTATTTATTTACACAAAATATGATTGAATTTACAGAGAAATCCTAAGCAGTAATACCCTTTAGACCCGTAGTCAACACTTTGTCATAAAATAAATTAAAGTACTAAAAACAATACGTGGAAACCCATCGTCCACTGTCAAAATATATCCACCAAGCTGTACGCCATTCCAAGGTGTGCCAACATTCTTACTTTATTAGAGGCAGCTTTGATTCATGAGTCGAAAATAAAATTAGATGTGGCATCTACAATCGGTCTTAAACGAATCACAGAAAAATTCAATTATACTTTTCTCCATAACCTTGGCAGCACATTCACAACGGATTATAAAGATATAAAATCCCTGAATCAAGGCAGGAATCATCTTGATGTATTGTAACATATGTTTTTTTATGTTTCCTAACATGACAGCCAAAGTAAATATCTCACGTCAAATTCAAATTACTTCTTGTAGGCAAATCAATCCTCGAACTCATAAACTAAACAAAGTTAAGAAAACTGAATACGTTTCATCGATATAGTCTTATTTTGTTAGACAACCTGACGTTATTCAGCGTGTATTTGGTCACGTCTGCTTCCTTTAAATCCTTAATTGAGTTCACAGCCCTTGATATTGGTGAAACCACCAACAAAAATAAAGTTATATCAGCTTATGGCTTGTTATTATTATAGCATACAATGAGAAAACTAATGGGAAAATTAAGTCGAAATTCGTATTTCAACGACATTTTGCAACATCGTCAGAATCTGCCACATTGTGCAAAGAAGCTGATAAAAAAATGCGATTATGAATTTGATTTAGAGCTATTTGTTTTGTCCTGCTTACTGATTTTCTTCGTGTATCCTCACCTGTATTTACGTTGGAAGACTTTCATTTGCACAAATTTTAATATAAAATATTACATAAGACTTGCCGTAAGCATCAGACTATCAACAAACTTTGCAGGTACGCCCTCTTAGGAGTTGGATTGCGCGAAAGATAGCCTCCTTGCAAAAATGTTACCTAAATAAATTATTTATTTTCGTAGAATAGCCATCGACGCACTTTCGGTTTTTTTCACATAGTATCCAGTTAAGGCATTGTCGTTGCTGCGCTGCGACCCTCAGTATGTTTTAGGTAGGTTGACAGCGGTAAATGCTAAATAATATAATCAATTGCCGATTAAACTCACACCTTTCAAAACTTGTTTTGTTACGTGTACTCTTTTGGGCGAAGAAGAGATTCCCCCGTGGTAATGATACCGAAGCTAATTTGTATTGACCATACGTCATATATTTATGCACATATTGTAACATATACGTATTAGGTTCAAATTGCAATGACGTTCACGAGTTTCAAAAGTGAATGTGATAACTTTTTAGCGAATAACAAATTGTATGTTAAATTTTTGCGAATATTAATTTCTGATAACAATTACATGAGCGATTCTTGATATAAATATCCATATCATCCTGAATGTTCTACACAATACAATCTTTTAGGATCCTTATTACTCATCGCTAGGGCATACAATGAGGGACCTTACTCTTAGACTCTTACTCAAAGAGATATTTCAGTTTATATCCGTACTCCTTGAATATTTCAAGGACGTTCATAATGAATGATAGTACAAGAATAGGTTTTGTAAAGAACTTCGGTAAACCTCATGCTGTTCTATGGCTGGGGTCTGGCTATTCATCCCATACTATGAATAATATTAAGGCAATGTTTCAAATTTTAACTAATTATCTGGCGCGATTTCCCTTGGCAGTGCGACTGACCCAGGAAAGTAGATAACACTGCTATATTCTGAATGACATCTACAATTTAAAGTCAATTTTTTCTTAGATTTGAAATACCGTCAATTTCCCATGCGCTGACAACCCTCAACGTTGTTATTTTCCGCGTAAATTCGGCATTCTAAGCCAACGATATTATCTATAATTCTATCGTAGGATGATTGCGATAAAAATGACAGAATTGTTCGCCTGGAGATATTTGATAAAATACTGCCATTCTCTATGCGTACGAAGAATCGAATTCTGGCATTACTATCTGTCCTGCGCTGCCTGTCTACAAATATAATTTGGCAGGCCGCAATGAAGTTCAAATGAGGGTAACTTAATAGCGAATTGGTTAAATATTATAGTTACAACTTTGATGAATAACAAACATTCATACAGGGTTGCTGTGGTCCGTAGCGGTTAAATCTAATCTTTCAAATTATCTTCGTCAAAACTTAATAGCGGTGACAATTTGATACGTGCATTTTAACATGATAAATTTAGTATACAATACAGATATAAAGTATTGTTTCACTCTGCTTCAGCTTAGCAAATCAAACGGTTTGGCAGCTACAATTATTATATAAGTCAATAAGCAATAATTTAACTGGCAAACCGTAAGTACGACAATGACGAATAGCGATTGTTCTGAGCGATATCACGTATTTTATACCTATCTATTGATTTTCACTATGAAATCGATAACGTCTTTTCGTCCGATGACAAACAAAACAGCATAAAATTTTAGTAATCCACCAATAAAACGGTTATCTGCCATATGTTCACATGTATCTAGGTAGAAAGTAATCAAACGAATGTGTTTGTCGAGGATATTGGAAATGGCGTGTTAATGTGTAAATAAGCCTTATTGGCAATTTGACAATATGTAATATCACCGGCAAGGATCCAAGAAAGCACTCATTATATCCCCAATGGAAACTTTTGGCGGCCATGCCCGAACTACTAAGTTTGCTTGTTTATACGATCAACACGAAGAAGTCGGGCGTGATTGATACGGATAACAAAATTTGGGTGACCGTACATTTGAACCCACGTACATTTGAACCCATGTGTATATCCACGGGTTCAATCTATATGCGGGTGCTAAAACCCATGGGTTAGGGTTAGTGTGGGTTCAACTATCCGAAAAACAAAAAAAAAATCCATAGGTGCAATAGCATACAGGTGCAATTGCCATGGGTTCAAATGTACGTGGGTTCAAATGTAATGGAACCTCACCAATGTAATGGAACCCAAAATTTGTATTATTAATATTATTATTAAGACGACACAATTATCTGTCGCGCTGCTTTCTGAAAACGTTTTCGGTTTAAACTTTCGTCACCAGGGCTCGATTAAGATGTTGACAATTTATATGATTTGTGGCCATCAAATCCTCTTCAAATATTCCATACGGTATCTGATGTTTATTGCGACTCCAAAATAAATATTTGATAATACGAAGCTACAATTCGACAATTACCGGGTCAGTTGACAATGCAGGGCATATTTCGCAGTTTGATTTAATAATATATAGGTATATACCCATTTTTCCTACGTCCCACGGGATATACGATTGTTTTTCTCTATGTTATTCTGTGTTTTTCAGAAATTTACAGATGGAAACAAATCACTATTTTGAGGAAGCAAATTTAAAACTGACACACTTTCTTGAACGCTTCGCTGTGTGTGTCTGTTTACCAACTTTCCAGATGGATTTCCAAGTACACTTTTTTTAAAGAACCACTACTTTTATTTTGACTGTCCCCCAATTGCAACATATCTGAAGGTCTAATATGGACCCCAATTCAAGCTTGTGAGGTGGGGGTGGTGGCGCCGCCCTTGTACTTTCCTCTCGGTCATTTATCTTGTGTGGCTTTGAGTGGCTCACAGAGACTCCAGTCTAGCCATGGATATATGTACACCAGGACATTGCAATATAATCATTACTGCAATATAATCACTGTCTACGAATTAAGTGATTACATGCTAGCAGTCCCGTTAGGAACATATTCATGCATCTGTTTGCCTGTTGTGCAAATCCAGCAGTTTTAGCAAAGTCCTAATTGATCTCTATTGTCAATTTATGACACTATTCTCACGCGATCGATTATACTGCAGGTGACTTATTCGTGCAAATTTCATGTAAAATCTTTTTTTTGACATCTTAACGTTTACATACGTGACGACATCTCGACATTCTTAAAAACAACTTAGGTACGCTACATCGAAAGAATCTAAGCTCTATGTTAAATATATATAATAAACAATATCTATAATAAAGGCTCAGCCAAACGTGTACTATGCAGGGCAAGATTCTGACGATGAACGCTAAATAGATGAGGCGCGACTTCTGTACGACCGTCTTGTCTAAGGCGCACAAAAAGTGTGACGACCCCTTATCTATCAAGCAGTGGTAACGGCAGAGAGTATAATCCTAACGTCAAAGTTTTCTCTTTTTCGCGAATCTGATGT